CTGGTATTTCTGGCCACTGTGTGACACAGACTGTTGGACTGGATGGGCCCTTGGCCTGATCCAACAGTGGCTTCTCTTAAGTCCTTATGTCTGAGGCAAGGGATGCTCTGTATTCTTGGTGCTTGGGGGGGGGGGCAACAGTGGGAGGGCTTCTAGTGTCCTGGCCCCACTGCTGGACCTCCTGAGGGCACCTGGTATTTCTGGCCACTGTGTGACACAGACTGTTGGACTAGATGGGCCCTTGGCCTGATCCAACAGTGGCTTCTCTTAAGTCCTTATGTCTGAGGCAAGGGATGCTCTGTATTCTTGGTGCTTGGGGGGGGGCAACAGTGGGAGGGCTTCTGGTGTCCTGGCCCCACTGCTGGACCTCCTGAGGGCACCTGGTATTTCTGGCCACTGTGTGACACAGAGTGTTGGACTGGATGGGCCATTGGCCTGATCCAACATTTGGCTTCCCTTATGTGCTTATTCTTACGTTCAAGCAGCACAGGTTTCGGCTGGGCTGAGTTGCAGTTTTGGGCCAGCCCCTGAACTGCCTGGGTAAGCCCCCCCCCCCCCCCCCCCCCAGTTGTCAGGAAGGACCTGGCACCCCTAGCCACAGAGATCTGCCGATCCCCACCGGAGAGGGCTCTTTTCGTGCTCCACTGCAAATTTAATGGGAGATCTTCAGGGCTGATGACCTAAATCCCCACTGGGAATCCAAACCCACTCCGTGCTGTTCATGCTTGACTGTACACCTTTGCAATGATTTCCCGTAATGGATTTGCTGTCGTTCCCATTTTACTGGCAAGAGGGGAAAAACGGGCGGGAATGCAACCCGATCAAGGCACCTCAGTGCAGGGCTGGACTTGAAGCTGGGCGGGGGTCTCCTCGGTGTGCTGGAGATGCGGCTTGGCTCTCTGGCCCTGCCGTTCCTTCTCTGCAGGACTTCTAAATACCAAGGGCGCAGGATGACTTAGAAGGCAGCGCAGGGACAGAGGGGGAAGGCAGGCAAGCCAAATGCAGGCAGGAGAGGCCATGGCCACTAAAGGGGAACCTCCACATTCAGAGAATCCCAGTGCCAGGAGGCCGGTATCCAATTTGCCCTATCTGGGCAAACTGATTGAGAGGGCGGTGGCGACACAGCTACAAAGATTTCTGGATGACGCTTCCGTCCTGGATCCATTCCAGTCCTGGTTGCTCTTACTGACGACCTCCGGAGGCATCTGGATCGGGGCGGTGTGGCAGCGCTGCTGTTGTTAGATCTGTCGGCCACGTTCGACCATCAGCTGCTGGCCCGCCGCGTCGCCGACGTGGGGATACGGGGGCTCGCCCTTCGATGGCTTGCCTCTTTTCTCCAAGGTCGGGGTCAGAGGGTGGAGCTAGGGGAACAGCCGTTCCAGAGACACCCGCTTGAATGTGGTGTGTCTCAGGGGGTGGTGCTTTCCCCGATGTTGTTTAACATCTACATGCGCTCCCTTGCCTAGATCGCAAAAGGTATGGGCTGGGGTGCCATCAATATGGAGATGACATCCAGCTCTATCTGATGTTGGGTGGCCATTCGGGCTCCGACCCAGACAATCTGAACCGGGCCTTACAGGCCGTGGCTAGGTGGCTCAGGCTGAGTCGGCTGAAACTAAACCCAGCGAAGACGGAGGTCCTGTGCTTGAGTCGGGTCGGTCCGGGGTTGGGGATCCCTCCCCCGACCTTCGATGGGGTGCCTCTGGTGCCTGCGTCGGAGGTTAGGAGTTTGGGAGTGCTCCTGGATCCCTCCTTAACCATGGAGGCCCAGGTGGCAGCCACTGCCAAATCGGCCTTTTACCATCTTAGGCTGGTGCGGCAATTGGTTCCCTTCCTCGACTGTGATGACCTGGCTACAGTGATCCATGTGACAGTCACCTCAAGGCTAGACTACTGTAACACTCTCTACATGGGGCTGCCTTTGTCGCAGATCCGGAAGCTGCAGCTGGTGCAGAATGTGGCGGCCCGGCTGTTGGTGGGTCTCCCCAAGAGGGAGCACATCCAGCCTAAATAAATAAACATCAAGGGAAGGCCTCGGCCTCTCTGCCCTGCTGCTGGCCCTCCAGAGGAACTGGCTGGCCCCTGTGTGAGACGGGAGGCTGGACTGGAGGGACCCTCCCTGGTCTGACCCAGCAGGGCTCTTCTGGTGTCCTTCTCAGGGGAAGGCCTCGGCCTCTCTGCCCTGTTGCTGGCCCTCCAGAGGGACTGGCTGGCCCCTGTGTGAGACGGGAGGCTGGAGTAGACAGGCCACTGGCCTGATCCAGCAAGGCTCTTCTGATGTTCAAACGGGATGCAAGCAACGTCTGAACTCAACACTTTCCATGCTCTGGTTGCAGCACCGCCTCCTGTCAGAATGAATAGCCAAACCACATCTCCAGAGGCCTTCAAATCCTCCCCGTGTTATGAACACACCAGCTTTTCAGCACCTGGGCTCAAGTCCCCGCTCAGCTCCAAACTCAGGGAGCGGCCGTACTTTTCGTCCCAGTAAAATGCGAACAGCAACAGACTGGCACCATAATTGCAAAGGTCTCCTGCACTGACTGCTGCCCACGTCTCAGAGAGGCACCGTGCGGCTCGACTGTACCTTTGTCGGGGTCCAAGGGGTTCAAGGAGCTCGTCAGGTTTGCAAACTGAAACGAGAAGCAAAGTCAAGCCAGGATGAGCCCCGCCGCACAGACGTTCCCCGTCCCCAAAGGGAATCTCACTGAGCCTTTTTTTATTGGCAGGTGGGCAGCTATTCCCAACCCCTCGGCAGAGATGCAAATGTCAGGTGCTGGTCACAGTGTTCCCTCTAAGCTGAGTTAGTGTGAGCTAGCTCACAATGTTTTGGCCTCTGGCTCACGCATTTTTGTCTTAGCTCAGGAAGGATGGCTCTGGAGCAAAATAATTTATGCAGTAGCCGAATCGCTCGCTCACAGCTTTTATGCCAGTAGCTCACAGTGTTCCCTCTAAGCTGAGTTAGTGCGAGCTAGCTCAGTTTTTTAGCCTCCGGCTCACACATTTTTGTTCTAGCTCAGGAAGGAGGGCTCCAGAGCAAACTAAACTGATGCAGGAGCCGAATCGCTCGCTCACAACTTTAATGCCGGTAGTTCACAAAGTAGCATTTTTGCTCACAAGACTCCACAACTTAGAGGGAGCATCAGTCTCTGCTCGAAAGCCCACTGCTGTCAATATGGGGAGGAGACGGAGTTTAGAAGTGCCCTTCTCACCAATCAAAGAAGAGAGACTCAGGCGGGTCACCGTGTTGGTCTGAAGCGACAGAACACAATTCGAGCCCAGTGGTACCTTTCAGACTTACGGAAACTTATACCTTGAATAGAACTCTGTTGGTCTTAAAGGTGCCACCAGACTCGAATTTCGACCAATCGAAGAAGCTCATCTGGTGGGCAAACGAGAGAGAGTACGGCATGTGCAACTTAAATGAATTATATGCTGTCTTCCCTATCCCCTATGAAAAACATTGTTAGTCCCCTGTCTAAAGAGTAACTGTAAATCACTTTGAACCCACTTGTGGGGAAAGCAATTAATAAATCGAAAGCATTATTATTATTATTTCCAGTGGCAGCCCCACGATGGGGGAACAACCTCCCCGGAAAGGCGTGCCTGACCCTAGAACTAATTCATGCCGTGGCCAAATCGCTGGCGCACAACTTTAATGCCAGCAGCTCACAAAGTACAGTTTTTGCTCACGAGACTCCATGGCTTAGAGGGAGCCTTGATTCCAAGCGTTTTGGTTTCCTGTAGCGGAATATCTAGTGGACAAGGAAATCATTCCGACACATCTGTGTTACTGAGAACTGTTATGTTTTTGATTGTTGCGTTCTTAATCTGTTTTTGACTCGAGTTTATAGGATTACTCATTTTTGATATTAGGGTACGATTTGAACTGTGTGTGTATGTGGGTTGGTCACGGTTTTATTTAGGACTGTGTTTAACTAATCTTAGGTGTTATTTGCTGGCAGTCCTGATATTGACATTTTAAAATCATGGCCGTTGATGTCTTTTTAATAATGGTTTTATTTACACTGTGAGCCACCTGGAGTCCTGCAAGGCAGAAGGGTGACTAATTAATGTTTTAAATAAACAAACGTAAGTGCTTTCTTGCTTCCCTGACACCCCAGCCAAAGACGGGATTGGATTTGTACCCCGCCCTTCACTCGAAGTCTCAGAGCGGCTCACAATCTCCGTTCCCTTCCCTTCCCCTCCCCACAACACACATCCGGTGAGGGAGGTGGGGCCGAGAGAGCTCTGAGAGAACGGCTCATGAGAGAACAGCTCCAAGAGAACTTGTGACTGACCCAGGGTCACACCAGCAGCTGCACGTGGAGGAGTGGGGAATCAAACCTGGTTCTCCCAGATTAGAGTCTGTGCTCCCAACCACTACGCCAAACTGGCTCTTGGGTCCCACTCTGCAAGCAGGGCGTCCCACAGGCCCTTCCCCGGAAGCATCCCAAAGCCCCCCCCCCGACCTACCTCTCCCATGACCGCGATCGGGGTCTCGCCCTTGGCCTGAGCCACACGGTGCTCTATCAGGTAGTACATGTACTCGTCGTAAAGAAGGCGGATGAGATGGAAAGAGCCGAAACTGGCGGCGCTTCGCAGGGTCAGATCCCGAATTACCATGGAGCTGGTGGGGGGGTGGGGAGGGAAGAAAGAGAAAGAGCTCAATGCAGCCCTCGCTGTCCCGGCAGTGAAACGAGGATTCCTGCATCAAGAACATTCAAAAGAGCCCTGCTGGGTCAGGCCAGGGAGGGTCCCGCTAGTCCAGCATCCCGTCTAGGGATGTGCATTCGGTTGGTCCGAACCGAATGCACCCCCGAAAATGGCCCATTTGGACCCCTTTTGGGCTGCTGCAGGCCGATTCAGACTCTCTGATCTGAATGGGAATGCCGCCGCAATTCGAACCCATTATATCCTATGGGCCATTGAAGTCAATGGCGAAAAGATAGGGTATATTCTGGGGGCTGGAGGGGGAGGGGGTTTGAGGGAGAGGCTCTAAACTCGCAGGGTAGCTGCTGGAGCCTCTCCCCAAGATACCAACCATGTTTGAAGAACATTGGACCACGGGGTCCAATTCTATGGGCCCTAAAACAGGTTGCCCCTATCCATTATCTCTTACCTCTTGGGCTCTTCAGGCTGAAGGCAGCCAAAGTTCATCTCCTTGTGAGTGACTCTCTCTCACTCAGCAAAATAACACTATATAAACAACTCTTATTATTGACTCTTCCTATCATTAGGGGTGCAGATCGGCAGCTGGAATGCTGAACTGCTGTGTGTGGATCATTTCACAGGATGCTGTATCGTCTTTATTGTCTTGTCTTTAGGAGGATTTCACATTTCAGCTCCAGAATTCCAGTTTCACTTCTCCCTGGTGTGAATCCAACCTTTGACATTTTATATTTTTGTACCAGTTTCAGTTTCTTGACACCATTTCCCCCCTGCAAGATGCAGGCACTTTCAAAGTGAGCCGGATCTCAGTATGTGAGAGTTGTATATTTTACATTTGTGAGATAGACTATATATGTGCCACTGTCATACATACCCCAGTAACCTCCCAGACTTCATTACTCTAATGTGACCTTTGCGGGTTGTGCTTGAAAATGGTTCAGAAACCGCAGCTGGTACAAAATGGAGATGCCACAGTGCAATCCTAAACAGAGTTACACCCTTCTGAATCATTTTGGTCAATGGGCTTAGAAAGGTGTGACTCTGCTTAGGAATTTACTGCTAGGACCCCGGAATAAGCCAAGGTGATCCTATTGATTCAGCATTAACAGCATTTACACAACGAAGGGAAGTTTGACCCTTGAAAGCTTATGTTGTTGTCAAGTCGCGGTTGACTTATGGCAACCTCATAGGGTTTTCAAGGCAGGAAATGTTCAGAGATGGTTTGCCATTGGCTGTCTCCACATCAGCATCCTTGTATTCCAGCCAGTCCCTCTGAGATCTGATAAGATTGGGCTAGTCTGGGCTATCCAGATCAGGGCAAAATTGGTAGAAAGTGCTGTTAAGTCGCAGCTGACTTAATGGCGACCTGTAGAGTTTCCCAGGCAAGAGACATTCAGAGGAGGTCTGCCCTTGCCTGCCTCTGCAGAGCAACCCTGGACTTCCTTGGTGGTCTCCCCTCCAAGCACTAACCAGGGAGTCTGAGATATGATGAGATCAGGCCAGCCTGGGCTATTCAGGCCCAGGCAAGACACAAGCAGAGGTCGTTTGCCGTTGCCTGCCTCTGCGTAGCAACCCTGGGCTTCCTGGGTGATCTCTCATTCAAATAACAAACAGGGCTGACCCTGCTTAGCTTCTGAGATCAGACGGCCCATCCAGGTCAAGGCAAGAGCTGAACAGTGGTGGTTTGCCACGGCCTGCCTCCTCGTAGCAACCCTGGCCTGCCATGGTGGTCTCCCATCCAAGGAATAACGGATGCATACCCATGTAGCTTCGCGGAGCCGACAAGACTGGACCAGTGTTTCCTCTAAGCTGAGTTGGTGTGAGCTGGCTCACAGTTTTTTAGCCTCCAGCTCACACATTTCTGTCTTAGCTCAGGAAGGAGGGCTCCAGAGCAAGCTGATTTACGCAGAAGCCAAACCGCTCACTCACAACTTTAATGCCAGTAGCGACTAACGGGTGCAAACCCATGTAGCTTCGCGGAGCCGACAAGACTGGACGGCCCCGGCCCCGGCAGCTCCTCACCTGTAGAAGGACCACTTGAGGAGGAAGAGTTTGGCGGCTTTGGGGAAGCTGGGGCTGCCGTGGTAGGGCTTCAGGACCTGGCTGACCACGCCGTCCAGCCACACGGCCCACTGCTCCAGGGAGTTCTGCTGCTGCAGGGTCATCTTGAAGTCCTGCTCGAGGCGCTGCACCACGCGGTCCTCGCACCGGCACACCCACGAGGCCTGCTCCTGCGGGAGGGGGGGAGGAGAGGGAGAAGGCCCTTGGGTGAGTAGCTGGGAAACACCCAACACGCGCGGGTCGGTGTATCACCTCTTGTATATATGCCGCTTTCACCCAAATAGTCGATACTATTTTTGCAAATCCGTTTTACAGTCCTATTCTATAAATCTGTATCCTATGAGTATATCTTAAAGTCACAAAATCAGATCATCTACCAATCTCTGTCCTGTTTAAGCATTCTACAATGATCTTCTATAAGCCAGGCATGTCCAACTTCGAACACGTAGTGATCTATTTTTTCCGGCCAAAAGTGCCCGGTGATCTACCGCTATGAAAATAAAGTTTCAAATTAGATTTTAACCACTAAAGTTGGGTTCCACACACACACACACCATTTATAATGCACCTTCTGTCATGTACTGGTAAGCAAAATAAGCAAAAACAAAATGGAGAGACGAAGGTCTAGAAAGGACTGCGAACATGAGAGCCAGTTTGGTGTAGTGGTTAAGTGCGCGGACTCTAATCTGGGAGAACTGGGTTTGATTCCCCACTCCTCCACTTGCACCTGGCTGGATGACCTTGGGCAAGCCATAACTCTGTCACAGCACAGCTGTTCTTGAAAAAGAGCAGTTTCTGTCAAGAGTTCTCTCAGCCCCACCTACCTCACAGGGTGTCTGTTGTGGGAAGGGGAAGGGAAAGGAGTTTGTAAGCCGCTCTGAGACACCTTTGGGTAGTGAAGGGCGGGGTATAAATCCAATCTCTTCTTCTTCTTCTTCATATTGAGTTATAACTTTCTTTCACTGTCTCAATAACTTTCTTTAACTTTTATTCAGAGTTATTTGTGTTAAATGTAGGTCAAGTATTGATCCAGGCTGATCTTGCGCAATCTTTAAAACTTCGCTCTTGCTCATTAGTGAGACCATTAGTGAGACCAAGTGGGGCTGGAGATCGACCTCTGACCCCTCCGTGAATTCCTGGTTGGACATACCTGCTACAAGGTATCTTTAACTATTACCCAAATTTATGCATTTCTAATTATGCTGATATTTTAACAAAAACATATTCGCAATCCTGCTACAAGTATCTAATCCTTGTTAATACTTTTATGAACTACATTCTCTACAATCCTCTGTTATTACCTTTACCTAAACTTCCTTCTCTAACCATTTTTGTTCAAACAAGCATTCCCATACATGATATAAATCCCTCTGTTCCCTAATTTTATGGGGCAGAACCAACTTGAAGAGTGGAAGAAACAAAGGGAGCAGGATAATACTGCAGGACAAGTGAAAAATGAATGTGATTTCTGATATCTCCTTTGACATATATTGACAGCTGTCAGTGTGCCTGCATAGGAGTTTAATCGTAGTATATTCAGATTTTGGTATTTAGCCCAGATGGAAGAAATCTATAGTAGAACATCTATATATTTTATAATTGTATTTTTCTGTATAAGAAGTTATATTAAGCAGAAGTACTATTAGGGGCCTCTGTGGATGGAATTAGGATGCAATAGAATGGAATGCGTATTTGGAAATTGCAAGGACACCTAACACTGGAAGTTATATGGTGAACAGATTATCAGTGCTCTCAAAACAATATATTGTCTTTTGTAAGACAGAGCATACTGGCACCGGGACACCTGCCAAGAGCTAAGTTTAAGGTGAATCACAGCCCTTATCCGCTAGCTCTCCAAAAGCGAGGCGGAGGGAGAGCTACCTCCGCTGAGGCCACAAAGGGTCCCAGTGTCCCCTAATGTTTCTCATTGTTCTAAAGTCAGGTGAGCAAATGCAGTCACTGACATACATGACCAGTATAAGGAGAGACCAGTAGTAAAGTTTAAAGTCAAATGATGCTACCTGCTTGGTACCAATCAGAGATTCTTTAATGTGTAAATTATATGTGGTGTCATCTGGGGTATAAAACCTTCTGCCCTTCCTGGTTAAGGCAGGATACAGCTTGGCATCACTGGGGGCCAAAAGGTACTCAGCCCTGTTTCTCCTGTTTCACTGCAATAAACAGATTTATCTAACTCGTTGGACTCTGACTGCGTGTTTCCAATTCAGCCCCGGGAGCACACACGGGCACAGATTTGTGCATCAATACGGGACTGTGCGGTGAGAGCCACGCACCGCTAAGCCGGAAACTGGCACTGTCCTGTTGGTCAGCACGGGACACCTCTCCTCTCTTCCTCCGTCCCTCGCTGCTTCAGTCCCCCGTACCTCAGCCGAACAGTAAAGAGCCCAGTAGCATCTTCGAGACAAAGTTTACTGTGGCATAAGCTTTCGAGAAACACAGCTCTCTTCATCAGATGCAACACAAGCTTTCGAGAAACACAGCTCCCTTTGACAAATGCAACACAAGCTTTCGAGAAACACAGCTCCCTTCGTCAGATGCAACACACGCTTTCGAGAAACACAGCTCCCTTCGTCAGATGCAACACAAGCTTTCGAGAACCACAGCTCACTTTGTCAGATGCAACACAAGCTTTCGAGAACCACAGCTCTCTTCGTCAGATGCAACACAAGCTTTTGAGAACCACAGCTCTCTTCATCAGATGCAACACAAGCTTTCGAGAAACACAGCTCTCTTCGTCAGATGCAACACAAGCTTTCGAGAACCACAGCTCACTTTGACAGATGCAACACAAGCTTTCGAGAAACACAGCTCCCTTCGTCAGATGCAACACACGCTTTCGAGAAACACAGCTCCCTTCGTCAGATGCAACACAAGCTTTCGAGAACCACAGCTCTCTTCGTCAGATGCAACACAAGCTTTTGAGAACCACAGCTCTCTTCATCAGATGCAACACAAGCTTTCGAGAACCACAGCTCCCTTCGTCAGATACAACACAAGCTTTTAAGAAACACAGCTCCCTTCATCAGATGCAACACAAGCTTTTGAGAACCACAGCTCCCTTCATCAGATGCAACACAAGCTTTCGAGAACCACAGCTCACTTTGTCAGATGCAACATAAGCTTTCTAGAAACACAGCTCCCTTTATCAGATGCAACATAAGCTTTCGAGAAACACAGCTCCCTTCATCAGATGCAACATAAGCTTTCGAGAACCTGGAACAGCTCTCTTCGTCAGATGCAACATAAGCTTTTGAGAAACACGGCTCTCTTTGTCAAATGCGTGGAGGGTATGAAGAAACTGGCCAGAGATATAGAGGAGGTAAAGGGAAAGAGGAGAGGATGCAGAAAGTGCTGCGTGAATGCAAAGCAGTTGCAAAAGTCACGAAAAAGGTGCATCCTCTCCCGCCTCCCTTTGCCACCTTGTATATCTCTGGCCAGTTTCTTTATACCCTCCATGCATCTGACGAAGACACCTGTGTTTCTCAAAAGCTTATGCTACAATAAAGTCTGTTAGTCTTAAAGGTGCTCCTGGGCTTTTTACTGCTTTGCAGCAACTGACTAACACGGCTCCCTCCTCTGGACCAATGACCATGGAAATTACCTCAGCCATTCCTTCTTCCCCCAAGTGACTTAATAAATGCCTACCCCATCTTGGCAGATCTCAGTTCTCATTTCTTCAAGCTACAGTGTGTACACACATAACACAGGAGAAGCCAGTGTTGGATCAGGCCAATGGCCCATCCAGTCCAACACTCTGTGTCACACAGTGGCAAAAAATACCAGGTGCCCTCAGGAGGTCCAGCAGTGGGGCCAGGACCCTAGAAGCCCTCCCCCTGACCCCCCCCCCCCAAGCACCAAGAATACAGAGCATCCCTTGCCCCAGACCAAGAGCTCCTATCTATACCTTGTGGCTAATATCCACTGGTGGACCTCTGCTCCATTTGCTTATCTAATTCCCTCTTGAAGCCGTCCATGCTTGCAGCCGCCACCACCTCCTGTGGCAGTGAATTCCAAGTGTTAATCACTCTTTGGGGGAAGAAGTACTTCCTTTTATCCGTTCTAACGCGACCGCTCAGCAATTTCATGGAGTGCCCACGAGTTCTTTTATTGTGAGAAAGGGGAAAAAGTACCTCTTTCTCTACCTGCTCTTTCCCATGCATAATCTTATAAACCTCAATCATGTCACCCCTCAGTCGTCATTTCTCCAAGCTAAAGAGCCCCCAAAACTTTAACCTTTCTTCATAGGTTATACCCACATACACACACACAGTCCCCCGATATTGGATCTTTCTGCAAACTTGGAGATTTCTCTGGGTTTGTATAAACATCCCCCCTATCTATACGTGGCCTCATTATGTATAAACATCCCCCCTATCTATACGTGGCCTCATTACATGGATTTTTTTGATCCACACTCTGGGGCCGTGTTCAGATTTAGACACATAGACCCAACCTGACTTTTGCCTTGGCTATCTTGAAAACAAAATAAGAATCCAGGTTTAATGGGAACAATGGTGCACAGAGTGTTCCCAGAGGGAGAGGAGGGGGAAAGCGCAGGTCTGCCACAGGTGGCTGAGCCCGGGCCTGCTTTCGGCCAGTGGAGCCCTTACCTGGACATTGGCAAAATCGACCCGGTTGAGATCGCTCAGCATCTGATTGATCTGGGCCGTGTTCTGTAAGACGGCTCGGGCGGCCTGAGCAAGGTGGTTCAGGGAGGTGTAACGCCTCAGGGTCTGGGCAAAGGCACTTGCTGCCGCCACCTGGAAGACAAAAGGCAGGTCACAAGACTTTTCCCATCACAGGTGTGTCCTGTGCAGGCCCACAGCCATAGTGGGGCTCCGCCCCCTCAAATGTGAGGCTTGCCCCACAACTGCTGCTGCCCCCCTCTCCTGTGACATTAAAAGGGCCCTCCAGCTAACTGGTGGGAGCACGTGGCCTGCCAATCAGCTGGAGGGCCCTTTAAACCATGGCGCCGCCCCTCTCCCTCCCCTCCTCCAAGGTTTAAAGGGCCCTCCAGCTGATCAGCGGGCCCTTTAAATCTTGCAGGTGAATCTGCCGCTTGGAGTTCAGGGAAGGGGTGCAGCCGCCCCTCTCCCTCCCCCGCTGCCCCACAAAATTTCCCTATGCCCCACCAACCCAAAATGTCTGGCTACGGGGCTGGTCCTGTGTAAGCAGAAGGAACTAAAGAGCTGGCAGGGGGATGCAAAAGGGGGTGGAGAGGTGGGGCAAGGCCCTACGGCCTGAGCATGGCGCCAAGCCTTCGTCCTCTGTCACAGAAGTGGAAAAACTAACTGAGCTTAGTTTGGAAGCCAGCTTGGTGCAGTGGTTAAGTGTGCGGACTCTGATCTGGGAGAACCGGGTTTGATTCTCCACTCCTCCACTTGCACTTGGCTGGATGACCTTGGGCAAGCGTAGTTCTGATAAGAGCTCTCCTTGAAAAAGAGCAGTTTCTGTCAAGAGCTCTCTCAGCCCCACCTACCTCACAGGGTGTCTTTGTGGGGAGGGGAAGGGAAAGGAGATTGTAAGCCGCTCTGAGACTCCTTTGGGTAGTGAAGGGCAGGGTATAAATCCAATCTCTTCTTCTTCTAGTTTGGTGTAGTGGTTAAGTGCCCGGACTCTAATCTGGGAGAACCGGGTTTGATTCCCCACTCCTCCTCCACTTGCACCTGGCTGGATGACCTCGGGCAAGCCATAGTTCTGATAAGAGCTGTTCTGGAAAAAGCTCTCTCAGCCTCACCTACCTCACAGGGGAAGGGAGAGGAGTTTGTAAGCCACTTTGAGACAACTTCGGGTAGTGAAGGGCGGGGTATAAATCCAATCTCTTCTTCTTCTTCTTCTCTGGCCCAGGCGAAAGGCTCCAGGGAACTGTACCCCCTTACAGCCCACTATGCCCAGGAGAGGCCAGGTGTTCTCCCCACCCCGTGAGCCCAAAATCCCCCCTCTGCTCTAATCCAGCCAATTACAGTCTGCACGGTTCCTCTGCATCCTTCACAGCACCCCTCCCACCTCCTGGCTGCAGCACAAGGACTCCGAGATCTCCACGTTTACCCATGTCCGAGGAAGGGAGCCCTGGCTCTGACACGCTTCCTGGTCTCTCGGGTGCTCCCGGACCCGAATCTCACCGTCCCCCCCCCATCCCGGGCACCCCTCCCTCCGGCTCACCTTCACGCGGACCATCTCTTCCGGAATATTCATCATGGCATTCGTCAGCCAGCTCTCCAAACTTTTTGCAAAATTTCGGATTGCTTGCGTCAAGGCACCTGGGAGCAGGACGCAACGGCGGGGGTTATCCCGGGGGTATACGGCTCGGTCAAGGTACGTGCGCCAGAAGGAGTCCGGACTGAAGCTAAGTGGACCTGGCTCGGCCCTTGGAGGGCAACTCGTTCCCTTATGACCCAAACAAGGATTTTTGGGGGTAGGAGGGTGGGGGAGGAATGGAGAGGCAGAAACACCCTCTCATCGTTCTCTCTTGCTGAAAGGCGGAGTTCTGCACCCTCCCCCACCCCACCCTGAATTTCCCACAGGGAAGGGGTCAAACTCTTCTTAGAGATGGCACCCCCCCCACACACACACAATGCTCTTGCTGCGTCTCTGGGCCAGTGCTCCCTCTAAGCTGAGTCAGCGTGAGCCAGCTCACAGCTTTTTAGCCTCCAGTTCACACATTTTTGCCATCGCTCAGGAAGGAGGGCTCCAGAGCAAAACTTAATTTATGCAGTGAGCAAACTGAGTCTTGTGAGCAAAAATTCTACTTTTGTGAGCTACTGGCATTAAAGTTGTGAGCGGGCGATTCGGCTGCTGCATTAGTTTGCTCTGGAGCCCTCCTTCCCGAGCTGAGACAAAGATCTGTGAGCTGGAGGCTAAAAAACCGTGAGCTAGCTCACACTGACTCAGCTTAGAGGGAACACTGGCCAAAAGTGCCAAGTGGGGCCCCGTGAACTGCCCAAGTCTCCCCTCTCTGGCATCAGTACTGACGGCACCCCCAAGGCCGGCAGATGCCCGACGCTCGGCCATCACAGGCGTAAAAACGGGAGCCGCGCACAGGGTGGGCTTACTCGGAATGGGCCGGAGCACGTCTGGGATCAGGACCTCGACCAGCCCCTGGTACAGCAAGTTGTCGCAGTCCTTTGTCCACTTGAGGACCGGCTCGTACTTGGACAGGGTCACCAGGCAGCTCTTGGGGAGGCGCTTCTCCGCTTCGTCGTGGCTGGAGGGCAAAGGCGAGCGCCGGGTTAGAGAGCGCCCTCGCGAGGCCACGGCTCGGACCGCGGACTGGTCAGGGGGGTGGGTGGGAGGTCTCTGCCGTTTAATGGCGGCTCCGCACTAGTGGAATGAGCTCCCGGGAGACATCACGGCCCTGCGGGACCTTCTG